GGGGGGGGGGGGTAAAAAATAGCAAAAAAATTGGTGGACGTCTTTTATGGATGGCCCCTATCATGAAATCCTAATGATGTTCTGCTTTTGACCTAGTTTTAATTATTAGTTTTCGATTTATTGTCCTTAACACATTTGTCTGTTTTATTGTTAAACATTCCTATATTTGTAAAGGATTTTTTTTTTCTTTTTTAGAAATGAATGGTCTCTTCAACCAATTGCTTTTACTTAGAAAATTGTAAAAATTTAAAAAAGAAAGAAAAAAAAATATTTGTGAAATAAAAGAAATAATTAAAAAACTTTCTCAAATCACTTTTTTTTAAAACGATGGTTTCATTAACAAATGTCTTTGTGAATACAACCATAAAAGACATCAAATTTCGGTGCAACGTTTTTAATCATTTCACAAATGTCTCTCACAAACTTAACATTCATACAATAAAAAGATAATTTAATATACAGTCTTTGCAGGACACTTAAAAAATGATTGAGCTTTGAGCAATTGATTTAACTAATTGCAGTTTAAGAAAAAGCAACCCAGCTAATCTTTAAATGAACTCTGAAATTGTAACTAGACCTTAACAGATTAGGTAAAATTTTACCATTCAATTTCTGCATTCAACCCAACCCTAAATAAATAGTTCAAACATTCATAAAATGAAGGTTTTGAGATACTAGAAGCAATATTCTTTCAGAAAATGTCAAGTTATAGGTACTCATATTGAAAATTGTGATATAGGTGCTTATAGGTGATAATTGTTTTAATTTCACTACATTTAAATTTATGCCATACAAAATACAACAGGGAAAGCATGACATGAGTTCGAAAATTCCTTTTGAAATGAGGTTAGTTAATCCATTTCTTATTAATTAATATCCCAGAACATACACAAACATTAATGTCTTGGGCATGTCTTTGGGATCTAATATTTGTCTGTTCCGTTCGATTTCCACCCTTACCCAAACAAATGTGTTTGTAACTGTGACAATATGACTTAGCGCACGTCTATCTGATTATGTCATCATCACCGGCTAGAGCTAATACCGTCATTACTAGCTATATAGAATATCTCTAAAATCATTGCTTTCATTTGAATCAATTTGAAATAATTCATATAAAGAAATTCTGTACTGTATTGATTTTGCAATCTAGAGGAGGATCCTCTCCAGCATAAGATATAAAGATGGAAAAGGAAATAGGAAGCAAAATTAATAGGCCTATAGAGTGATTAGCCTTTGACCAATAGCCTATTCATTATCTCATTCTCATTTTAAATGGTGAATTTTGAAGGCTGTTGATGATCGGGTGTTATGACAGTTAAAGGGTTAATATACAAATAATAGCCTACAAGAAGTACTTTTTTAATAAGCATCTGTTTGCTAGCATAACAATGTGCCTTATGATTAACCTAAAGCCACCCCTTTTGTGATGTCTCTCTTGAGTTTGTCTGTACATTTCTTACATTTTATAGGGCCCATTGAAGTGACTAGGAAATATGTGTCATTTATGATATATTTGCTTTAGTTTAAATTAAAGACTAAATTAATTATAAATTAAAGAATAGATAAGTGTTGACTTTGTCAGTAAAGTCAGTTCTTTAGTCTTTAACTAACAACAGTAAGTTTTGATATTAGATTGGGATAAAACTGATTATAATGAAATTTATTTTAAAATATTCAAAATAATATTGTTTTCTGAGCTATGCGGAATTGGAAAAAAAAAGGATGTCAAAACTCTTGACTTTAGGAGTCAGACAAAAATATGTGACTGAATCAGGTTTTCCCACACTTCGTTTCGCTTATTTCCTTAACAGAAAATGAAATAGAGGACACATGACTTTAAATTTTATTTTTGAAATTTAGGGGATATGAACAAAATAATTTATTGTCTAACAGCTATCAATATCATTTATCTATCTGATCTATGACTATTGACTTAAAAAAAAAATAAAAATAATATAATATTAAAATATGTGCAAACAATCCGTTGACCACACGCAATTACAGATTTGCAGTTTTATCTCCCTTTTTACCCAACGTCTGTCATGTGATAGTGATAATGACAATTCGTATCTAAAGTCTAATGTGTGACTTATTCAGCCTGATTCTAATCACAAGACCTGACAAGATTAAGTGCATTAAATAAAACAGATGACATACTGATAACAATACTGAGATAGGCCTTACTATATATATTAAAGGCATACTTAGATAATAGGTCTTTTCAGTGATTTGTTTGGTTGTTCGCAAGTTAGCCAGGTCAGTTTCTCGTTCTGCCTTCGTTGCTACCATCCGAGTGACAGCAACAAAAATGAAAGCAATCATCATCTTCTGTGGCATTGTAGCAATAATTGCTTGTGTTATTTCCAGCTCTAATGCAGGACTGCGAAGGTATTATATTTATTGTTAAATAATTAATTATTATTATTGAAAACATTTGGATGAATATTATTGTCACAATCGTCTTATAACTGTACTTACATATATAAAATATTAGTATTATAGACATTATAGTATTATAGACATTATAGTTATAGTTTATTGTACAAATTATAGGTCTAATTAAAATTATAACACAAAACTAAGATTGGCATTGGTAATCTTACGGTTCATGTGCGGATATTATTTCTGATTGAATTTCGCATTATCGCGTGTAAACTTACGTTTATTCTTTATAAAATTTAGCAGACAGTATTAGCTAACACTAACAATGTAACAACAATAAATTGTAAAGGACTAACTTTTCTTTTTATTGATTTTTACAGCCCCCATTGGTACATAGTCGGTAGTGGTAGGGTAAACGAGCTCTTCATTTTCTTGTTTTTTTTTAAATTCACCCTACATGCCAGATTGCCATTATTCCATTTCCCTGTTTTCTTTACAGTCCCCATAATTTAGATGTTAGCTAAAGGGATTTTAAAGATGTTCATTTCCGAATGCCATCACGCACAACGCCGTGTAGGCCTATATTGGCTGGTTTTAGGAAAAATAAAGTTATGAGTTCATAACCCTTCAGTACCAGTTTTGAATATGGATAATCAAGTGTATGTGTACTAAGTACTAAGTTTGATCTCGTTCCATTCACCCATGCCCATGCAGGAGCCTTTATTTGGAATTATATTTATACATCCCATATAACAAAACAAAAACAAAAAAAGAATTTTGGGCCCCCATAAAATAACGGAATATCTAATTATGTTTAACACACACCCATCCCCCCCCCCCCCCTTCA